AGCAATGAAGTCAGCGCGCAAGAATATTTTCACAAACAATTTTATAAACTCTTTATAAACTTGTCAAAATTTTCGAAGTTTTTTGGAACACATGTGGCCTACAATGCTACCGTAACCCACAGCAATGAAGAGCGATCGGTGATTCGTTCCATACCGCAAAACCCTTAAATGAAGTAGCTTTACAAAATGCTACCCAATGCTCCTCGAGGGACTTCATGCCAAGAAAATTATGAATAATCAGAGCACTTTTTCCTGGGATACCCCTGTATTTGTACATTTACATTCAGTAAATCAAACACGGTAGTATAGCTTGCTTTAGTGAGTTTTGATCAATAGCGAAAATAATAAACGCAAGCTTTTTCGATGAAGAGATCCGCTAAATTTCGTACAAAAAAGTGCATCTTTGTAAAGAGAGAACGGTAAGTACACAATCAACAAAACATGCTGCAAACTCCACATCGAGGAGATCACTTTTCAATATAACCTGATGAATATGACTTCTATTGACAATAGTTTTTTCAGGCGTAGAACTACTTGCGAGCGTTCCCTGGGCATATCTGTCTTCTTTCTCTTTCCAGTAGCCTGCTAGCGGTGATTGTGACTAACCAAAAAGTAGATTTTTAGTTTTCTCAGAAATAGTGCGAAGAACTGGGGTTTCAATACACCTTCCGTGGCCGCGCTTCAAACTCGTCCTACTTCCAATCAAAGGCTCTCTGATTCGTGTTGAGCCACATGTAAGTTCACTGTTTGTGCGCGTTAGTATGTTCAAAGTAAAGAATTAGGTGAAGTTAGGGCTTGGGTATATAGATAAGTGTACATGATGATTACGAAACTGATTTATTTGAAAAGTGCACATTGGATTTATTAGATTTACGATATTTTGCAAGCTTTGAGGGACTGGCGGTTGGTACAGGAGGGTAATTAAGCATATAAATACGCTCAATAATCAATATACATTCATCGCTTTTTTTCGTTTGACTCCTAGTTGGGGCACGAAAGTTGATTCAAGTGGTTAGCAGGCATGCAAACTACGCAACACAGTGCAAAGAACTAGTAGATAAAAGTTTGAAAGGAAAGAAAATACTTTGTAGAAATGGGACTGACTAGTGATTTCATGGTGTCGACCACAGGTGCGATAGTGTGAGAACTTTCTCACCCCCTCTTCACCCTTGAGCCGGGACCAAGGTGACCCCCTTCACCAAAAGCCGAAAAAAAATCAACAGTAAGGTAAGGGTAAGCAAGGGAGCTATTTGTAAGTGAATTGTTTCTGTATAGGAAAGGAGGAGTCTGTTGAAAAAAGTGCTCGGTGACGGGTGTGAGTAGTTATTTCTGGACATTTCGATTTTAACAAAAATTTATAACCTTTGCAGATCAACATCTGCTACGGCGAGATGGTCACCTTGGAATCGTCTCGTCCTCCCCTTTCAGAAAACATATAGCATATCTGAGACTCGTTCAAGAAAGTGCGGTGAAGGGTGTGCCAACTGTTTTTCGGAAATTTTCGAGTTTTCAACATAGAAAAATTCATAACTTTTGTAGATGAACATCTTGTACGCCATGATGGTCACCGTTGGAACCGTGTTGTCCTCCGCTTTAGAAAATATATACTTTGCCTGGGGTCCGTTATAAAAAGTGCCGGGTGAAAGGTGGGTGAGACTATTATAATGGGAGTGCTCAAGTACAGGCTTTTTTACCGTTGTAAAAAGACGTCTACTTGAGCACCCATTATAAAAGTCTCACCCACCCTTCACCCGGCACTTTTTCTAATGGACCCCAGCAATGTATATATTTTCTGAAAGCGGAGGACAAGATTGTTCCAACGGTGACCATCACGGCGTACAATATGTTCATCTACAAAAGTTATGAATTTTTTTATGTTAAAAACTCGAAAATCTTCAAAAATCACTAGGACACCCTTCACCCAGGCACTTTTTTTAATGGACTCTAAGCAAAGTATATATTTTCTGAAAGCGGAGGAAAAGACGGTTTCAATGGTTGCCATAATGGCGCACAAGATGTTCATCTTCAGAAGTTACGGATTTTTCTATCTTAAAAACTCGCAAGTATCCAGAAATCACTACCCACACTCTTCACCAACCTTTTTTTCAACAGACTCCGAGCAAACTATATATTCTCTAAAATCGGAAGACAAGGTAGTCTTAAAACATTCCCCTTGCTGACGTTGCTGTTTATCTAAAGAAATTATGAATTTCTTCTTTAAAAAAAAGTAAATGTTTAAAAATTGTCTAACCCTTTCCAAAACAAAAGTTATCGCATGCACATCTTCCATGGTAATTCCAAAAACAGGCAGGGTGATGTAAAAAAGAAAAAAGAAATGTTAAAAAAATGCAAGGTGCTTGTCAGATATATAATTGTGCGCTAATCCAGCAGCACATCGGCTCATAATTCAGAAAGAAGATAACCAGTGATGGTAAGGAATAAATTATGAACTTTGACTAGGAAAAATGAAGAGAAAACACCATGGCTCCCCCCCTCCCCCGTCGACATTTTATAATTTCTCTACCAAGTGAAACACCCTTCACCCTGGAGAGGCTGCGACCACGTGACCCCCTTCACCCTGTAAGAGTCATTCTCACCTTATCGCACCTGTGGTGTCGACAAGAGCCGAGTGGAGCCGTCTACATTAATTCACAAGATGGACGCTTCATACTTTGCGAAAAGCTAAAATCGCTCAAAATTTGGCGCTGGAGCATAATTTCTATTGCTCACAACTCAAAAACTTGCTCATTCGCAATCAAACAGTGTTTCTGCCACGCTCAATGCTCAAGTTCTACGATTAGCGGTTTTTACTTAAAGTGACTCTACATTTCATTTGTGTATTGACTCTGTCTATCGCGATCAACTTTGCAATCATTGCTTATCCGCATGAAAGTGAGCATCTTGTAATGCACTGTGCACTTTGTCACTTGTCATCTTTGCCACTTCTCCAACAGCTTCGAACTCTATGTTACGAAAACGAAAAGAAAAGTCAGTCAAAATGCGTAATTTGTACTAACGTGAAAAAATGGTGGGCAGAAAAGACAAATTGTACCGATTTCCATTTCACACCAGTAAGATGATCCTACACTGTAGTTTAACTTCCAGTCAACCATTACTCTCTCCGGTGCAATTAGATGAATTTACCTAACTAGCCATCTGAGCCATGAGCTTACAATTCACGAAGCAAATTTCAGACGGCTGACTGATGAAATGAAAGGATTGATGCGCTGTTGCATGAATATTTGAATGTGATAGCAGCAAGGGTCTTTGAGGTTAAATGGCGTCTGGTCGTAAAACAGGCTGATCCACGCAGCAGAGCCGCTGAAAATTGAAGCCCTAAACTCCCATTCAACTCATTGTCAGAAACTGAGCTGACCCTTTTGGAGGAATTTCTTGTGTTGGAGTTAAAACTCCACCTAGTCATACCTTAAAAGGGTAGGTTGAACAGTCAGAAGACCGTACGGAGTGCTAAGGTCGTTTCAACGTCCTGCCAATAAGTTGAAGGTAGGACGTAAGTTGAGCTAAGGAAGATAGTGCAAAAGCGGAGAATCAGAGAAAAGTAGGGTAGACAATGTCCCGTAATTTGCTCGTCAGTAACTCAGATGACGCCTAGGCTGACGTTCCTTTGCGGTGCATGTGAGCGCAAAACAATGCCGTGGTGGCCCAAAGAAGAGAGGATCGATGAATAGCTAATTTTGGCTAGGATAATACGGGAAAAACCGGTTTCTGTCTTTTTTTACTGAATTTGCTTAGGTTTTTTCAACAGGCTGCTTGAAACGAGGATTTATCCATCCAATTCATTTTATTCATGTTCCAAGCATTTCATTTTTCATGATAGTTTCGTCAACAACTCCGGTTTCGTTTTAACCATTCAATTGCTAGAGAAGATCTTTTATAGCGGTCATCATTAATTTTGCGATAATGGACCTTAGAGCTTTGAAAAATGTTCACTTTCGCTGGTTTCAGGTATTAAACCAGATATGGATTCCTAGTGACGAGAAGACTTCGAAAAGATGAGCAGCCCGAAAATCAAATTCCGCCGGAACAGTCTTTGAGAACGCGCGATTTTCATGATTATGAACCAATCCGCATCAGGATCAATGGCTCAGTTTATGCAGGACTGAGACGCCATAAGTTCAAATTAGCCCCCCCCCCTCAGCCCATTGCGATGAAAAGTTTACTGCGAGCCAATGTGTATGTAAATTGAAAAAAAAGTTTGTAAAATGATCTGTTTTCGATGTAGTCAGCTGTGACATAATCATCGGCTTATTTTGCCTTTCATAATGGTGGTATCTATATATAAATAAAACTTAATCTCTGAAATTTGTTCGTATGTAAGTATGTGGCTTATAGACTCCTTTGTTTGTGAACCGATGAGGCTGAAATTTGCTCCTCTACAAATGAGGCCGGGCGCAGAAGATAGGCTGCTTTTTGCGACAATTCACTGAGTCCTTCTATCGATTTATTGATTTGTTTACTAACATCTAGGAAAATGAAAGCTATGTCATTCATTTCCTCCAAGTTAAGTAGTAAGGGGCGGTAGAGATCATTTACATTTTGCGGTGAGAAAGATGCGGTGCCAGGAAGCGAGCCGGTCAAGGAGGACAAATTCACTACGGATACTACACGTGTGCTGGAACTTACTTGGAGCTGAAGCAGGAAAGGAAGAGAAAATATGATCTGAAAGAAGTGGAGAAATGGTAAGCAAACAATTTGAAGCAGATGGGCCATTTTAGACCCTTGGCCCGGGCGGGACCGGGGACCGCGGCTAGTAGTCTATAAGACCTTCTGCTTATGCGCATTGCAGGGTTACATGTATACTTATGAAGTATTATAGGATAATTTGTTTTAGGGTAAATAATTACCCACTGAGACACCTTAATTGCAATGGAGAAAACTTCTACCTACATTCTGGCTGTGACTCTTGGAATGCAACATTACCGAACCCTTGAGAAAAAGATTTTATTCGTTACAGTTATCAGTAACAATTCTATACATTACCTCGGAAGCTGATAGTAACATAAGAAAACATGCAATCGTTTGCCTTTAAACTCATCAAAACACTCATCAAAACAGAAGAGGTATAAATTCAGAATAATGACAAACGTTTATTGCCAAAATTCACAGCTTTTGTAACGTTGATGCCTCTTTGCTTTAGGTACTCGTTGCTATTTTGGCTACAAGATAACCATAAATTTTGACTCTACAACCAATCTGAAATGCTAATGTGATGATTATGTTCATTTTATCATATTAGGTTGTCCCGAAAGTTTTGTCCGTTTCCTTCATTTCTCACAAAAACTAACAGAACACAAAATCATGGATGACTTAGGTACCATTTGATTCAGATTTATATCCCCTTTTTGTTCCCTATTCTACCCTGTATTTGCAATGTTATCGCCATGGCTTTTTGAGCAGCTCAGCAGTAACGCCAAATCTTTCCTGAATTTTAAAAATTTTCATCTTGATGTTTTCAAAGAGCGCTCATAACCGATATGTAAAGCAAACCTTTGGCTATACCCATTTTAAATTACATAGGCCACGTTTGCCAAGTCCGTTATAATTATTTATTCAATAAAAACCGCGGCTTTTCAATTACGTTTACCAAGTAAAACTACCGCAAATTCCAAAAAGCTGCTTTTTCAAAACAAATCAAAATTGGATATGCTTCATAAAAAATGTTTAATAAGAATCATGTTTCAATTCACAGAAATTTCAAAAGCTTTCATGTATTTGTTGCAGTTGCATGTTTCATGCCAAAAATCGGGACCTTCGAAAAAAATAATTTTTTGAAGCTAAAAACAGCAGATTAGGAGAACCTAAGAATATTACCTTGTAGTCCGAGAACTGGTCTATTTGATCCGTACTCAAAACCTTTACCGAAACGAATAAAATATTTAAAAATTAGCCTAACTTTGAGCAGATAAAATTGACGGGTGAAGAATTTTGGCAATTATCAAAAAAAGCATACAGCACTATGGTACGAAAATGTAACCATAAGAAAGAGGAGGAAAAGCTGCATCGAATGCATGTTAAAACACACTCAGGTCCTTATTGTGGATGGTTTTATAGTGGTTTGAAAAAACGGACAAAACTTTCGGGACAACCTAAGATAATGCGGCCGGTGTGAGGATTATAATGCTGCTTCATGTCAAAGGGAACCTTGTTCCAAACAACCATGTCGCAAATATAAAATTTCTATTCCCTTCATATGTGCATATGAGAAAGCAAGGTGTCCTTTAGGTGAAAGGGGTTTCGGCTATCCCCGACTTAGAAAAGTGAAGGGGTCACTAAGCCTGGAGGTGAATGCTGATGTAAGCATGTCGAACGGGACTAGGGATAAAAAGAAAGAAAAAAGTGGTGCAGAGGTGTGATATGAAGGAATTCTTATGTTTCGGCTTCAAAAGGCATCGAAAAGAGACTTTTTTCATTCAAAAAAGCTTTATGTCCCATCAATCGATCATTCGAAAGCTTGGGACATATAGAACCGATGTGGACCGCCTCTTTTTATCCAGCTCTCGTATAAATTCACATACTCAGATAACCGCCGCGGGCAGGCGGCCATGCGAATTTTGAGCAAGCGCGCACCGGAAAAATAGTTCGTTGATTTTTTGCGGCCCGCTTGCAGAAATTTGAAAGAAAGTTGGCGAAATTAAAGACGAATGCTTGAAGAACAATCGCGGTTTTCTTACAGATTAACTGCGGCGCAATGGCCGCATTCTCGCGTTTCCGCGAGAATATGCAAAAATTTCGGGGGCCGCACGGTCCTTTGTGGAGGACCGTGCAACCCCCAGGTACTTTCCGCTGAGAGAAAAGACCTCAAACTTGAGTAATTAAACCAACGGTGACATTTCTGCCACACAGAGTCTTACCTGTGCTCGACGTACGCCCGAAAATGCCTAAAAAGAGTCCGAGCGCTTGCTGAATGTTTGGCCAGCGCTCGCTAAAAGAAATTATTTGCCGAGCGCTTGCAAAAAATGCTGTATTGCTGCCCGCTGGCGAATACGCGACCGTAAAGGAAGTGCCGCCCGCTGAAGGTTTGGCCACGCCCCAAAATTCTGCTGACCGCCTGCACAAAAGCGCGAGTTTGCGGACCGCCTGCCCCCGGCGATTATCTGAGTATAAAGAAATTTATATAGCTGCAGCATCAGATTCTAAGTGATCACTTTGCGCTCAATTTCTGAAAGGTAAAGGAAAGCTAGAAGAAAAGAGACGTTCACGTTAATTGGCAAAGTCTTGCTCTGTACCACAGTCAGACAATTAGGCAACTTCACTCGTTCCTTACATGGTAATTTCCTTGCAAATACACGCATGTCTTCAGCTTAAGTGTCATGTATCCGCTGAGTAGAGGGGGAGGGGCTAGGATAAAAGAGACGGTCTATGTCGCGGCTCCGAGATGCGAGCGCTCCTGGAAGTAGGAGGCCGAGAGCACTGGTTGCTGCCGCGCTATCCGGCGACGATTACGGTACTTTCCCACGCTTGCCGCAATTTTCGCTGGACCTCTCCTCGTCCTGGCGCATTGCCAGCCAAAAGGCTATAAATAGCGGGGCGCCTTATTTCAGCGCCTGTCTGCTTCCCTGTCTGTTTCGTTTTCGATCAACAATCTTCTCGTATGTTTTCTATTGTGCTCGTGCCTGGCAGTTAGCTTCCGCCTTTGATGTCTCTTGCATTAGCGGTCGAGCGGATCGGAAGTTGTATTGGATCAGAATTTAATTCTGATTTGGGATTGTTTTGAACGAAGTTTTGGAACCCTTAGGATTTAAAATCTTGTGAACTTTTTGAGCGGAGAGGTGTCGCGCCTGGTATCCGTCGACGCGTGGCGGATCTGTATTGGTGAAGCCTCGGGAGCATTAGCGTGTTTAGATGTTATATAGACGCGCAACATCGGTAGCACGGGATAGGACGCCCAGTCCCGTGTTGGGGTCTTTCTTCTTTAAGCCCGTATGCACGTACATCCTCGCTGGAGAGGGGAGGAGATCTGAGGGGATGCGCCATATCTCGCTATTCTACGTATCTTTCTTCTTCTTTCTCTAACTTGCTTATGACGTTTTTCATACACGTATGCCTGCGCATAATGGATGCCAGATTACTTCCATACAAGATTGGTTTTTTGCAATTTTGTGTGATCCCCTGGGGATCCCCATGGGATCACCTCTCATTTTCAAAGTCATTTATCTTCCTGAGAAGTCTAAACGCTGCAAAATTGTACTGAGGATATACTACGGCACTGTTAAGCATGTTTTCGACAGAAGAAATGGAATCTGAAGATTGTTAATTTTTCGATGATCCTTAGCTTTCGAGCCAGGGATTACCGAAGGTTTCGATATCCTAAGGTTTCACTTATTTCTACTATAAACATCTTTAGCAGTGTCGTAATATATCCACAGTATAATTTTACAGCATTTTCATTGAGTCTTCAAGAAGATAAACTGGCATCAATTATGTGCAGGTATTAGGGTATGAGAACCTTCTAAGGAACCTTCTAAGCAGGAGAAAAAAGGAAGATGAAAGATATACCTAGAGTAGCGAGATATGACGCATCCCCTCTCAGATCCCTCCTCTCCCCAGCGGGGATGTACGTGCATACGGGCCTCAGTTGTAGTTTAGCATTCTAGCGTAGTGTTTTGTTTCTTTTTGTGTTTTAAGGATGAACTATTAGTAATGTTGTGCTTTTAGGGCAAGTTAGTAGGCTAGGTTGTGTCGTATGTATTAAGCGGGCGAGCGTGCGGGTGTCTCGGGCAAATCTAGGTGTTTAGGGCCCACCGAGCCGCCACAGTCTATGTCGAATTCCTGTTTCGTAAACTTCTTAATAGTATATAGATGACAGAAAAAAACTTGGGCAGAGTTGGCTGAGAGGTTAGTGCCCTTGACTACGCCGAGGAAGGTAGCGGGTTCGATTCCGCGGTTCTTTGGCAAAGCTCTTGCCCCACGAATCCAGCGTCAGGCTGCTCAACCAAGAGGAAGCACGCGACAAGCCGGCTGAAGAAGAAACCACGTCGCATCACATTCTCTTTTATGTTTCATCAAAGTCTTCGAGTAAAAGCTAGGGAGTTCCCCGGAGGCGATGCGCACTTGGGCGCAACCGAGTGTGACCAGTATGTTAGGGCTACCGTCTCAACAGGGTGAGCGGGGACGGCTAAGAAGCTAGTTCACCATAGACACAGATACGAATTCTCAGATAAGCTACGTCTAGCTACGCTTAACGTTGGATCTCTCACAGCTCGACATCGGAAAATAGCAGATTTCCTAAGAAAACGAAAAGTAGGTAGACATCGCCTGCCTTCAAGAAATTAAATAAAAAGAGAAAAGGCAAGAGACATCGGCGACGGCTTCAAGCTTCTGTACAAAGGAACAACCAGTAGCAGAATGTCGGGGTAGTGGTATCCGAAGCACTGAGAGATAGAATAACTGACGTAGATCGGATAAGCGACTGTCTGATGAGCATAGGAGTAGATAGAAAGAAAGGCTTCGTCTAGTAAGAGCATATGCATCAAAAGCAGGTTGCGAAGAAGCTGAAAAAGAAGAGTTCTGGCAAAAGTTTGATGACTACATTGGCACGATACTTCAAGAAGAGATACTACTGATTGGCGCAGATCTCAAGGGGCATGTAGGAGAGCAACGAAGTGGCCTTCAGAAGTGTCAGGGAAACCACGGATACGGCATACGTAACGATGAAGGGGAGCGCATTCTGAAGTTCGCATTGTCTCATAACTTGGCTATGAATATGTACTTCATCAAGAAGATCAATCATCTAGTCACATATGCCAGCGGAGACCGCAAATCGCAGATAGACTTCTGTACGATGCGACACAGTGAGCTCAAGTACGTGAGGGACAGCAAAGTCATACGTCATACCCGGCGAAGGCTGCGTACCTCAACACAGGCCACTGCGTCTAGACCTGAACATCCTTATCAGTAGAAGAAAAAGAGCAAGGACGGACGGTAGAGAGCACATCAAATCGTGGAAGCTCAAGAACAATCTTTAAGCGAAAGCAGTAATGGAGTCAGCCCTGCCAGAAATGGAAGAAGAACCAGACCACTCATGGATGCATCTGAAAAACAACGTCCATTAATGCGAGTATTCTACTAGGACGCACGAAAAAGGCCGAATCTCGAAGAGGAAACATGGTGGTGGAATGGTACCGTACAAGATGTAATAAAGAACAAGAAGATGGCCTATAGGGTATGGCAGAAATTAGGGGGAAAAGATGCGTGTCAAGAATATCTGAGTGCAAAGCGTGCAGCAAAGAAGAGCGTCAGAGGCGAAGGAAGCTTATATGGCATAGGCCTACAAGAAGCTGCACACTCGTGAAGGCGAGCGAGATATACATCGGGTAGCAAAAAAAGAGCAAAAGCCTCTAAGATACGGACCACTACTACCATATCAGGGATGTCTGCAAAAAAATCCTGAGAAGACCAGAAGAGATAGGGCGCGATGGCGAAACACATAAGCAATGTCATCTATAAGTTACGAAAAGCCATCTACCATAGCAGCTGAACCTGTACAAGAACCGGCAACGAAGATCACAGAGGAGGAAGTCCGCAGTGCTATAACGAATACGAAAAATACAAAGCAGGCCCAGATGACATCCCCAACGAATTCCGAAAAGAGTGCGGTCAAGCTGGAGTTTGAATGGCTAACACGACTTCTAAACCGAGAAGTAGAATGCAAGAAGATGCCCGACGGTTGGCATAAGAGCGCAACGATACCAGCTTGGAAGAAAGGGGATTTAGCAGACTGCTCTACATACCGACCGATACGTCTCATGAGCCATACATTGAAGATATTCGAAAGAATACTGGAAGCGAGACTTTGAAGCATCATAGAGCTAGCTCCCAACCAATGTAAATTCGTGAAAGGATGTAGCCAGAATAATGATCGAACAAAGCAGGGAAAAGCAATGTCGACTACACGCCGCGTTCCTAGATTCGCATTCGACAAAGTTTCGCACAAAATGACATGGTGGGCACTGCGTAAACACATGGTACCAGAGGACTATGTACAGTGATTACAAATGATTTACAAAGACGCCAGAAGCCATGTCTAGACAGCTGCAAGAACATCAGAGGAATTCACGATACGCGCTGGCGTCAGGGCCCGGCACGAGGGGGGGGGGGGGGGCAAATGACAAGCTGAAAATCGTTTTGGGGCCAAAAAGCAAAGGGGATATCGTTTTTGCGGGATCCGGGGGCGGAGCCCCGGAAGAAGATTCCAAGTGCAAGCAAAAGAAGGTCGAATCATGCTTACCTTATACATCTAATTCATCGGAAATAGTTTTCATAGACCTCAACGCGCTGCAGACTTCGCGCGCACTACGCCGCGTTGCCGCTTACTGCCGCGTGCGCGACGTCGCATGAGCGATGCCGTTGAACAGCATGATTACATGATCAGTTCTCAATGCAGGCGTAATGATATAGCACCAAATTACGTAAGCGAACAAAGAGAGGCTAGCAGAAAAGCATGAAATGTTATGAAAAAGTTATGTGAATGGGAGGTGTAATAAGCATTTTTTCCAAAAATTTCGCAAAACTGGTAAATGAAGATGTGAATTCAAATGGCTCGTTTGCAGCGCACAGATGACCATACGGTATGAAACTTGGTAGGTACATGAATACGGGCCTGCAGGGCTTACCTTAGAAGTCTTATTGAAAAATTATGTGAATGAAGGTTATGGCAAGCTTTTTTCTGAAAATTTCCCACTAACAAGAAAATGGAAAAATGGCTCGTTTGCAGCGCACAGAAAACGAAATCGCGCGAGACTTGGTGTGTATACGCGCAGTAGGACTAAGAAACAATATATGAATAATTATGAAAAACTTATGTGAATGAAGAGCGTGCTTAACTTTTTTCCAAATTAGGCGGGCAATTGCCCACCTAATGCCCACCTGAGGTGGGCAAAACTTTCAATTCACATAATTTTTTCAAAATTTTTAATAAATCTGTTGTTCACCTAAAGTTTACTATATGGTGAGATTTTGGTTCCGAAACTCCTCCTCTTGTCTTTGTTAGAGCCCAAAATCGCATCAGCAGCCTAGCTTTCTAAGATGGAAAGCGCGCCCCAGTCAATCGATACGCGCGGGAGCGGCGTTTCTGAGTCCTATGACTGCGTTCCTTTGATATTTTTTCATTCCTTCACCATTTTCCTTGCTTATTCTTCTTCCTGTTTTCTATCTTGATACAGGTGAGGAGTAATTAGAGGAATTTGAGCATTTTGGGCGCTTTTATGCGCTTTTACGCGAAGTGTGGCCGGTGCTCTCGTTCCACAAGCACAAAGCGTCATTTTTGGGCTCAAGGGTGTATTCGTAAAAACTATTGGGGTCAAAGGGGAATTCGTTTTGGAAAACCCCGTCTGCCCACCTCGTGCCGGGCCCTGGCTGGCTTACATCAAGGTTCGGTACTCTCACCGCTGCTGTTCATCACCGTGATGGAAGCGATCGTCAGAGACTTCATACGGCAACCACCGTGGGCACTCATGTACGCGGACGATGTAGTAATACTAGCGAGAAGCAGACAAGAACTACAGATGGAAGTGCAGAAGTGGAAAGATTAGCTAGAGCTGCACAGATTGAAGCTGAATGCAACAAAGGCAGAGTATGTGGAGATAGGAGCTCAGACACCTGGGAGCATCCAGATCGGAGACACGCAAATCAAGAAGACCACCTCCTTCAAGTTCCTGGAAAGCTCTATCTTCGCAGATGGCAGTCTTCACGACGAACCCACCAGCAGAGTAAATTCAGCTTGGATGAAATGGAGAAGCACGACGGGAGTCCTGTGTGATAGGCGGATGCTAGAACCTCAAGTCGTTGATATACCGAACAGTCACTCGAACGACGGCGCTCTATGGAAGCAAATGCTGGCCGTACTTGCAACGAAGAGATAAAGATCGGCGTAATGGAGACGCGGGTGCTGAGGTGGACCGCAGGAGTTACCATGCTGGACCACATCACGAACAACACAATACGAAGCATGATTAAGGTCGCCCCTGTCGTAAAAATGCAAGAACGACGACTAAGATGCTATGGATACGTAAGCCGGCTAAACGAAGACTGCGTAACTAGATTGGCCATGAAAGAAAGCGTAGCAGGAAAGAGGCCAAGAAGAAGACCTAAAGTGCGATGGCTAGACAGAGTCAATACAGATGTGAGAGAACTTGAAATAACTGAACAGCAAGCGTTGGGCGGAGAAGAATGGAGAGAACCCACAAGAGCAGCAGACCCCGAATAACGGGAAGAATGCAAGGATAAAAAAAGGAAAGAAACTTGTGGCTCTGAAAATGGGGTGGAGATATTTACTATTAGCTTGCTCCACCCCGGCACCTCAATGGCATGGATTCCATGAGTCGCCAGAGCAAGACTTTTCTGAAGCAGGAAAGCTTTATGCACCAACAACTTATATATCATCCGATAGCTAAGAACACGAGAAATTGATGTAGACCGTCTCTTTCTTTTCTAGCTATTGTGCGAAGCGGTATTTGAGGAACTTTTACTAGCTACAATATCAGCTAATGTTGTAAATCATTCTATGCTTTGTATTCAAAACGGAAAAGGCATTTTTTGAAGCTCGGTTGTGACTGAGAAGCTTTTGAGGATTTTACTTTAGCACATCAACCTTCTAGTATGCTCTTTAATGAAAGAAGATATAGTTCGGTTCTTGTTGGTAAGCATGCATCCATCATTAACCGGACCAGGCTTCTTACTCTTGCATAATTCTTCCCTGCGACAATGTGTATGTAATGAAGAAGTTGTTAAAGAAAAGAAGAATGTTCAAAAAATCAGTCCTCTAAATTTTCAAGTTTTCGTTTCAAAACTAAGCCACTTTTAGTGAGACAGGGGTTGGTCCATAGATGGGTTTCTCTCAACGGATGCTGTATAAAAGCAGCCATGCCATGCACATTGACTGAGAAGAAGCAGCAGCGGGCGCTCAAAGAAAATGTGCACCATTTATGTGACTGTTCTAATCTGCAGTTATGCCTTGACTTTAGTCTAACCACAGGTGAAAGGGAATCATCCAGATGCCGGCCCAGAAGTGAAGGGTAGCAAAAAAAATTGCTCAACCACTTGCGCTATTCTGTATTCTTTCGCACCTGTGCTATTCCGTATAGGATCTCAACTAAAAGCTTGACAGGAAGAACTAGTACAATGATTAACCTGACGTGTTGCGGTAATGAGATATGTAACAAAAAGCTGAACTGTTGCGAGCAGCCCACAAATACCGTGATTGTCACTTGCGAAATCACAACTGTAGTGGGAAAATTTTCAGCTGTAAACTCACAAGGCGGATTCTTTTCAACTGACTTCTTGAGAACTACCTTGAGAACTGGATGCTCAATCTGGGACTGAAACATGAGGTTTTTGATTCACCTTCAAATATTAGGTCGTTCCGAAAGTAATGTCGCTTTTTTCAAAAGTATGCCACATCTCGTGGAACAAAAATGTGTAAGACATTCTGATAGCATTTGATGCAGCATTTCATTCTCTTTCTAATGGTTATAAAGTTACTGCAATACAGTCGATGAACTTCCAGAAAAGGGTCAAAACCTGCGACCTATGCTTTTGAGATGGCCAAGTTTCACAATTTTTCCAAAGTTTTATAACAAACCTCAGAAGGAGTCCAAGTAATGGATGGATGGAGCAAACCCTACAGGAAACAGCACAACTTTTTTCTACTTTCCAGAGCTCGTCATAATTTTTGTACAGATATTTTGATGGGACCATCGAATTTTAGCAGGCTCGTCTCAGATAAGTTCATCAAACCCCAACAAGTCTTCGGATTTTGAAACTTATAAAGATGGATTATGGTTTGGCAACAATTTTACAATCCGAACGAGCATTTACCGCTTCGTTTTAGCAACTTTCGAAAATTTCGGGTACACCTCGGGGTGCCTTGAAAAAGATGAATTATGATGATTTTATCCCAGAAAACTTGATGAATCGGAAACAAAAAACAACCGCTAGAAAGAGGAGAAAAGCTGCATCGAATGACAGCCGAGTCGCCTGCCGATTGTTGTTCTGTGAGGTTTTACTTGACTAAATATGGAATTTGATGACATTGAGAAATTGATTGTAGGAACTCTGAGAAGCAAGCTAAGGAAAAGAAAAATCTGTGTTCTGTAGTGTTTGCTCTATCTACCTGCCACTTGTACTTTTTCGGAGATTAGGTACAAAAGATTGGAAAAATAGCCGAACTTGACCATAGCAAAAAGCCTGAGTCGCAGATTTTGGTAATTTTTCGAGAGCTCATTGAACATTATGCAGTGAAATTAGAAGCATTAGAAAGAAAATGAAATGCTGCATCGAATGCTCCTAAGATCTCTTGAAAATGTTGATTCCACGAATAGTGGCGTTCATTCGAAAAAAGCGACATTACTTTCGGAACGACCTAATATAAAACGCTGTACCACTAATCAGCAACATGGAGGAGGTGATTTCACATGATATGGCATCTTTTCAGGCCCATTTGAGGTAAGTTTTGATTGCTTCACGTATTTGAAAAGCCATACGACAACCACAAATACAGCATTTGTCATAAGCCAGGCACAAATAATTACCCAGACACTGCTGAGATTATCCTGTAATAACGCTCTGACTTGTAACATGCAAACAGGAAATCACGTCACCAAAATTTTCTTTACGAAGCAAAAAACACAAAAAGTTCCACTGATAGACTTACTCTGAGGGAAAAATTTTCCTCACTCGCTAAGTCTATATAATCCATCGCCAAAAACATCAGCATAAAGCATGAGAACGAAGACAAAAAAGAAGCCATGCAAGACCTGAATGTGTTAGTAAATCAAGAAAAACATGCAAGCTCATGTTTCCGTCTCCTTCTATGGAAAACTTTTTCAGCTGCTTACCTTCCATAAAAAATTCTTTGGTTATAAGCGCTTTTTCATTTCAAGATGCGTGTGTCCCTCTTGCTTTACCCATTGGTCAACTCCCCGATAAATCAAACGCTGCATTTTAATGACTTGAGAACAGTGACATGAATTTTGAGATAAGAACTCTATGATGAGTTACGTTTTTGAGTACATGTAACTGTTCTTACATCGCTGGCAATGGACGTTTGCTAAAACATATTTTCTCTATAAAGTCACAGTTCTGAGTTTTCCAAACACATTCTTCTTGGTACGAATGGCTGCAATGCTGCTCATAAATGCGGTTTTCAATAGGCCCATGCATTACTGCTTCACAGATTTTGAGATTGATGGAGGTGACTAGTGGTGACTGACTAGTGTGGAGTATTATCGTTTGCAATAACAAACCTTCGCAACGCTATCTCAGGTGTGTCCTCCTCACCGTCAGAGCAATGTGGTACAACAGCTTTGAGTGCATAGATTGCAGTAATTCCACTGACTACTCCGGCGACAGCTAAATTTTCTGCCTAAGAGATTTTGCACCTCAAATGATATAATAAAGTTGGTGCAAAAGCTCTTGCATAACTCAATCAAAAATCAATAATATTCAAATACATTCAAGCTTATGGTCCACTATCCTAAAAATTCCGCCAGGCTTCCGCTCATGACAGATGTTCAAGCATAAAATTCTATGAGTTGGCCGTCGAGAAAAGCTTCAAAATAGCTGTTCAGAATTTGCGATTCTGAGTTTGGTGCTAGAGAATCGCGGAGGGTCGCCAGCTTGTCCTAAGATCTGTATAAACTCTTTACACAGCAAAAGCCTAGAGATTAAATTGAGAGGCTTCAGTCTTGCATAAAAATCCAAAAATAAAAAATTCGTGAAAAAGCTTTTTACAAGAAAAATCCTCCATTTCGCAGTTTGTCCACAGTTTGGGACCAAAAATCCCAACTAGTGCCTTTTAGACCGCTGTGAAGCTTTCTGGAGCATCAAATCGCGCTCCTTTGAAAACCTGCAGCAATGACAGGATTTCATCTGTAAAATGATATTTTCGACAGATATTTTATTATTGCATTTCCATAAGGATTGAAGCCTCCCAAATTGATCTGTAGACTTTTGCTGTGTTAGAAATTTTTATACGTTTTTTTGCGAGCAAGCGGCCCTTCGCGATTTTCTAACACCAAGCTCAAAATTGCAAATTTTGAATAGCTGTTTTGGGAAGCTTCGTTCGCATGCTGATACGCGCATGCTGATACTAAGCACACGGGAATAGGGAGTTGGATTTGGTATGTGGAGGTGGGCACAGGGAAAGGCTGTACAGGGATAGGGATGGGAGCTTTATCATAGTGTTTTGACAGGGCCGGACGGAGCAGGGTAAGCCAGCTAGTTAAATCATAAAAATGATGTACAATTTCTTCCCAATCTGAATAAAATGTAAACTCATAAACATGAGTCTCTCAAAACTTTCATATGTCCCTTTTCACTATCGAGCAAGCAACCTGCTTCAAACTACGCTCGCTTTCCATCTAACTATGGAAAACGAAAGCTAGGTCTCTATAATTATAGTTAAGATGTAGCGTAGTGAAGTTTAGTCACAATGTATGCACAGCAGTGGCGTACCGAGGGGGGGCGCGCCCCCCCCCCCGAAAACGGGTCGCGAAATTTTTGAAAGTTACTTACATGTGTTATAAAATTGTGCAAATGTCTTGTTTACACTTGTAAATAATTAAAATAATTTTTAAAAATTTTTAAAAATTCATTTTAGCCTTATAAAAAAAATTTTTCGGGAATTTTGGGGTTCTGGACCCGCGAAAATTTTTTGAAGCGTACCAAAATTTTTTTCTGAGTGCGTGGCCAACGCCACGCACCTTCATTGAAAAAAATTTTTTGTCGCGCCCCCCCCCCCCCCCGAGCCGAAATCCTGGGTACGCCACTGATGCACAGTACATGTATATCAGTCGCGGACCGAGCCCCCCCCCCCCCCCACCCGGTCGCAAAATTTCTGAATGCTACTTACGGAGAGAGGATACTTAGTCGAAAGCACCAATCCAGATGAGACATATATCTTCTTTAAGCGCTTTAAACGCTGATTCCAAAGCTATAGTTTCTAGCTGTGGAGCGGATTCATAGAAGGAATTAAGGAGGGGTGTTTCCCGCGGGTGATGAGGCTCCCTTCAGACATCGCCTCTTGTTTACGAGCACTATAGGAACACAAAATAGTGTCGACTGGCATAGTGGTAAGTACTTGAATGAAGATTACAATAAGGATTTACAATAACCATATTACCCTAATTTCACACGTATAAGGCGCGGGGGACTTTTTTTCCAAAATCGACCAGCCCAGACAGCCAAAGGACTTTACAACCGAAGGACCCTACAACGTGCTGTATATTGCTTGAGAGAATCGTGCGATGTAAGGATTTCTTTCCGTGGTGCAGTGAACCGGCTGAGCGGCTCGCTTAAAAATTCAAAAATGTGCGCCTTATACGCGTGAAATTAGGGTACTTTATTTTTTCAAAATACTTCGATTAGTATCAATATCATCAGAAATCTCAGGCTTTAGGGCTCCAAAACCATTATAGGCTCATTGTAAAAAATTTGCATGCGAAGGAATTAAACACTTTACAATCTCTTTCTCAAGCAAGTCACTTACCACTAGGCCATTCGCCACTGGTTAGTCTCCTCCATAGTGCTCGTAGATAAGAGGAGATCTGCCGGAGGGCGCCTCAACCCCAAAGGGAAACACCCTTTATAACTCCATCTACAAAACCATTCCGCAGTTATAAACTATAGATTTGGAATCAATGTTTCAAGCGCTTTAAGATGATATGTGTCTCACCTGGATTGGTGCTTTCGACTAGATTTTCTCTCCTTGTTAGATGGGTTATGAAAATGTGTGTCTTTTTTCTACATGAAAATAATATTTTTGATTTTCAAAAATTCATAGCCTTGTAAAAAAAATATTGCAAAATAACTTTCAGCATATAGCGCCACTGTAAAATGGGCTGTTCGAAAAAAAATTCCAAATATCTTAAAAAATTGTGTAAAGTTAAATCGTTAACCGCACAGACTGGACATCACTGCGGAGTACCTGCCGCGAGGTAAGTTTGTCCCAGAGCAAATTCGCCGTTGTATAATCCCTGCTCTCGCGAAAATTCAGCCGCGCCGCGCGTGATCCGCAGGGTTTGAGCAGTTCGTGCGGTCAACAATCACACAACTTTCTACCGGTTTTGGGAGCCTTTCACGTGATCAAATCTTTGAGCAATGAAAAACCTGTCAATACTTTATATCGCATAACTTGAAAAAGACGCATTAGGTTGAAATGCTCGTTTTATATTTGAACTCAGCGACTCTCATTAGCCTAGTGTAAGGGGTTTTTTGGCTCATTCGATTTCATTCATAGGTGAAGTATGGCCCTCAAAGATTCAAAACCTTCTTCAAGGTTCTTAGCATAATCCTACTGTATGAATAAGGAATCGATGATTCGCTCTAGCATTGTTCTATGCGGAACTTCTTTCCGGGAAGATCGAATTCCTACCTAATTTTCCGTATAGTGATAAAAAAAACAAAAACGAAAAAAACGAAACGGAAATTAGGTGATTTCCTTTTCTTTTTTATTGTTCTTTCCAGCAGTGTGTTTTTTGTTTGATTCCTTGAATGTTCCTTCGAATAATCTCCACAATCTCCAAGCCATGCATTTTGCGTATCTAAGTTCAGCTTTTTTTGAAATTTTCGTTTTGGACTTTTGAGAAAGTTTTGAAAACACTTGAATGAAGTAAAGAAAATGCTACAAAGCCCATTTTTGGGATCGATAGCTGTGTTTTCAGTTATTTTAAAAAAGGTTTTCAAAAGTCTTCACATTTGCGAAGTATTTGCAAACACTTCAAACACTATAAGATCCGAGAATTAAAACTTGTAAAAATCAATTACGATTATTATTGTAATTTTTTCCTCGAAACTTTACAAGTCAGAAAGAAAAAACATCTGTCAAAAAGAAGAAAAGTAGCTGCATCGAATGACACCCTATCTCTTTGCCGTTTGATGTTCAGCTAGGTTTGGGATAAGCAAATACCAAATTTGGTAGCACAAATAATAATTTTAGAAAGTCCCAAAAGCTAGCTATCCAATAATGAAAAATTGTATTACACATTCATTTTGTTAACTTTATCTAACTGTCAATAAAGCATTTCGAGAAGTCCAGAAGAACGAAAATTTGAAAAAAAAATAGCAAAAGTTGTTGGGTAAAAACAGTGGGTTGAAGATTCTAACGATTTTCCAAGCAAACATCAAACGAATCCGAACAAAATTACTGCTCCAAATATCTAGATTTCACGCTGATTATAGGTGTTCGTACCGTTCTTCATTAAGAACATGTTGAACAAAACCGTGAATTTGGACGAGCCGCGTTTTGCAGCTTTTTGTATGATCTGATGATCCGGGGCTGGCGACAGTCTTACTTTCAGAATCAATGCAAGAGAATTTGGATTATCTAATCCGACAGTGTTTTTGATAAAAACAAACGAGTCACTGAAATATTGAAATCTTCTTCGATAAACCCTTTTCGAGTTATAGTTCATCGCAATTTTCATGACTTCGATACGTCATTTATGCCTATCAGCATGCGTAGTACTGCTAGGTCAGATGATCAGCACAACTTTGAGATGTTCTCATCAACTCGAAAAAGGGAAAACAACTTTGAAGAAAACACGTTCGGCCGCAGGGGTATCATCAGGTGAACCATACAAAAAACTGATTTGTACAACTTCTTGCTCCAGTTCAATATGTACAAAGAGAAGAATCGTAGCAAGATATCTGGATTTTACGCTTTCTAGCTATCCATAAGTATTTCCATCGTCCTCCACTAGGCATAATGAGCAGGAGCAAGTGCTGTACAAGCCGCATTTTCAGCATTTTGTATGGTTCCCTGATAATCCTCGGTGTCCGACCGTCTTATCTTCAAAGTCATTTCTTTTCGAAGTCAACGAAAACCTTTCAAAGTTGCACAGATACCTCACTCAACAGCTGTTAAGGTGTTGCTGATAACAACAAATTTCTTTTCAAAACATAGAATTTTATAAACCCCAACTTTCGACTTGTGTTCGTGGCAATTTCCACGAGTCCAAAACAGCATATGTTTTCATCAGCAACATGCTTAGCACTGTTGTGCTAGATGATCAGTACAATTTTGAAATGTTTTCATTAACTTTGGAGAAGGAAAAGTGACTTTGAAGAGAAAACGGCTGGCCGTTGGGGATCATCAAGGTATCATACAAAAACCTGGGAAATGCGGCTTGTACAGCTTCTGCTGCTGTTCATTATGTTTATGCTGAGAAATGGTAGGAGTACTTACCGATAAGTAGACAGCGTAAAATCCAGATATCTGGAGCTTCAGGATACGAAGCTTTCTTTCGAGCTGCACCCTTCCCGGTGGGGATGTTAATGCATGTGGCCTTTAGATGTACATTTTTGAAACTGCCGCCCCTGTACAACTTTCCCTTTTCTTTCTAAATAAAACTTCCGTTTTAGTAAATGTCACACATGAACCTGGCCCTGTTACTTACTAGGTAGTGGTCCAAATAGTTTTTGCTCGCTCACCTGTAATACAAGCTACGTAAATGTTTGATCCAAACACATTCGTCTGCTGCCACCAATTCATGCCATAGGAGATGTGGGCTAGCATGAATAACAGCGAATTCAAGCAGTATAAATAAATCAAAAGTGTAAGGATAGACGAAGTGAGACTAGAAGAGGCCATCTACAAACACTAGATTACAGTGTAAAAGCGTCAACGACTATTTTACTCATTTCCATTACGAAATATCAATTCCTTGCACTGAGCAGACAATGCAATACTAATATTTTTGCAAACTCACCAAGCTTTGAGGCTTCGGACATAATAATGTAGGACGATTCGAAGTTTCTGTGCATTTGAGTTTGCAACTTTTGCTTTTGATATTTTAGGCGCATCTAGTATAAGAAATTGTTTGTGAAAGCTACAAGAAAGTTATTATGGGAGCTTCATTAATCCATGTAAAAAATTTGTCTTTTCTGGTAGGAAAAATGCAATCACACAGAAACAGCCTCACACTATTAACTTTTTCACAAGTGTCTTCATTAGTATAGGTGTGAATTTTCCACTCAAAAATGTTTACCCCAAAAAAGTCCTGAAATGCATTCAAACTGAGTTTGTAAATGATTTGAGACTGGTAGATTGTTCAAGATTCAAAGCTTGATGCTTCTACCTTTTTTTACCAGAAGTTTCGAAAAAATCATATCTACAAAGTTATCAAGGGTCGATGGGAGGAAATGTCAAGCTGGAATTGTTTCAGAGAGAAAGCGAAACATTATATTTTCTTTTATGTGCACTTACGCACCCTTCTTGACAAAGTGCTAGATGAATGACGTGCAAAAAGACGATCATGTTTGAAGGCAGCGTCCACAGTCGGAACAATGAAACATTCGTTTTGCGTCCACTTATATTAACAAAGAGAGATGCAATTAAGTATACAGGGTGTGTCAAAAATAAGTACACACGTTTCAGTCGTCAATATCTCTATTCTCAATGAGTCTTTTTTTGCCAGCCAAGTATCATTCTGTAGAGGAGGCTTCAACTTAAACTTATAGTATCGAGCGAATCACTTATCGCTCTTCGTTACTGTGGGATTACGGTAAGATCCAGCATGTGGAACCATTGTAAATTATCCTGAGAATTTTTCTTTCAAAAATTGGAAAGTCGTGTACTAGAGTCTTCCCGCACGCTGATTCCATTACACAACTTTTTACGAATGTTTCCAGCTTTTCTGACGGTGTAATCACTTTTCTGGCAAGGAATTTGGGGGTGCGTGGCGTTAGGTACCCAGCCATTAGTCTCATACGCTAAGCCACGCCCCTTGGTTGCTTCAATAGCAGGTACCTAACGATACACCGAATCCCAGCTGCTGAAACAGCTCACCTAGTTTGCGAAAGCGCTGGTGCTTGCGACCCCCAGAAAAGAGAGAGTTTGAGGAAATCAAAAGAAAAAACGCGAATGAAAGCGCAAGTTATGCAATGGTTTCTATAGCTTCTTTTTTCAAAATCAATTCTAGAATCACAGATATTCGGTAATGAAAGTTAAAAACAGGGTAAAGCTTCTATGAGCACTTCACATAGGCAAGAAAAAATTGTGATAATCTGATCTAATCGATAATGTGAGGGGGATTTTCCTGACGGTGTAATCACATTTTTAACAAATACTGGGAGTTCGGTTATTACGGTTTACCTGGGATGAATCCTTATGTGCAGTTGTTGAGCCTTGACCAAGATTGTTACAACTCTTTTATTAGGCCTACGTTTCGGCTGATTCGCCTTCGTCAGAGCCTAAAAAGTGAGCAGTAAACGAAATCTACCCTCCAGTTGTCTTATCGTCACAGGAAAAGGGGAAAGTTGTGAATGCCTGTAGACAGCTCACCTTAAACCTGCCGAGTGAGGACTGCAGACCACAACTAATATGCGTTGAGTGACTAATGAGCTACGGCACCCGAGTATGAAGGTGTTGGTCAAACCCGCATAACTCCAGGAACGGCGCGAGTTCGTTTGTGATGGCGATGCATTCCTCTTTCCTATTCATTTTTGGATTCCTAGCGGAAATCCAGCAGGCTTCTAATGTTGTGCGCGCCGCCACTTCTGATTCTCGTGACAGAATTGATACAGAGATATCGAATTCTGCGTTTTGATGGCGCTGCTTACCGTGCGTGCCTAAGGGCGTGGATAATCTCGATCTACGCATTCCGTCCATGTGTTCTTTGATTCTCAGACATAGTGGCCTACCCGTCTCGCTGTACTCCTCGCCACATGATTTACAAGTCAAGAGATAGATCATACCTGCGCACATACAGTCCCCTTGTTTATTGGTAGCCGAACATGGAGTACCTGGGATGACTTTGAAAAGAAGCATTACAGTAAAGTGGAAATATTAGCAATCAGCAACTCCCATTACCGTTAAGAGTTTTTGGCTTGTTTGGTTTTGTTCCGAGGCAGAATATAGCCCCCAATGGCCTAAAATCCTTGTCGAAGTTCGTACCGTAATCATACAGTAATGAAAAGCGATCGATGATTCGCTCGATACTGTAAATCTAACAAGGGAAGGAAGGTTGGTCGAAGTGGCCTTTTGAAATGAGGTGTATACTGCCTTGTAGAGCTTGGAACGCTGATTCCAAATCTACCTTTGCTATCTGCTTCGGGCTTCTGGGCGACGAGTTATGAAGGTTTTTGTGAGTAATAAAAATCTGAATGCAAAAACAGGGTAAAATCAATCGTAACCTTTTCTCAATGTTTAAATGAGGCAGCAGCGAATTGGTATATTTGAATTAAGAGTATTTGTTGCACCGAGTGACCCGATTACCAATTAAGCCCTATAAAAGATGTTACGACTGATTTTAGCCTACTCTTGCATTCAGATTTTTACTCACAGAAACCTTCATAACTCCTCGCCCAGAAGCCCGCAGCAGATAGCGATGGTAGATTTGAAATCAGCGTTCCAAGCTCTACAAGATGATACACATCTCATTATAAAAGGCCACTTCGACTAACCTTCCTTTCCTTGTAAGTTGAAGCCTCCTCTACGAAAGGTACTTGGATGTCGGAAAAGATACAATGGGAAGAGAGCTATTAACGATTGAAAAGAGTGTACTTACTTTTGGGACACCCTGTATTAGTTACGGTAGAAAGCTGCAACGTAGCAAATAATTTAGGAAGTGGAGAAGTGGAAACAGGAACACCTAGTAGAACCTAGGCGTTCGCAGCACTGCAACGTGAGACTTGACAGGCAATGTCGTGCGGAAATATTCGCGCTCTGATGTAACCTGATTTAGACGTTCGTGTACTTTGGATGTTCTTCGCGCATAATCGAAGGTTGAAATACTGATTGTACAGATAACACATATTTCCTGCATAATTCATATACATGAAATATCAGCAACGATCAGTGTCTGCAGTCATTGCTACGAAATAACACCATCGTTTTGATCCGATTACTGTACCAACCATTCAAACCTCATGAATTTGACGACAAGTAAAAGAGTACTACGTAGCGCATCAGGGTCCACAGTTTATTACTCCATGTATTTGAAATTTTGAAAACGAAGACGTGGTAGCACATCCGTTGCCTTATTGTTTCTCCAAATCTCAACCAATGTCATCTTGTTAACTTCGATTTCAAAAATGTTCATGAAGTCAAAGCTGCCTACGGCACAGCCCAACTATGCATTTCGTTTCAATTTGACGTTTCGAGTAGAAGGTTACAAATGAGCGGTAAACCACCCGCACCTTTCAAAAAGGGTTTCAAGAGACTTATGGTGCTCATATAATCACAGCATTGCAGATATGGATAATTGAACAACACGTAAACTGCTTAGAAACGAATGAAGTGTTTCTAAATGATATAAAGCTACTAACTTGTAGCAATCCCAAAGGTTTTGTAGATATATGTTGGCTCGGGCTATGTGATTGTATTTCCAGTTTTGGGGGGGGGGGGGGGAGGTAATAAGGCAAATGGGCAAACATTTTTGAAGCAAATTTATGGAGGAGTTCCAAAAAAAGTCAAACAAATGCTATAGACTTGCATGACAAATCCTCCCATGAAACTGCAGAATCTTCGTTCAGTTCAGAATCTACGTAGGTACATAGATAAATGTGCTGAAATCGATAATGCGTCATGCCAGTGTAATGCAGTCGTACGAACTAAATTATGCATATCATGGAGTCTTTTGTATTACCGTCTGGTATGGTGTGCACTTATTTATATGCGTAAGAGTTGCAACCTCTCTATATATAAAGCAGGAAATCTGTGTGTTTATCTGCTGTGCACATTCTTCATAGTATGGAGGATGAGCGGTGAAGCTCATTTTGATCTGCTGATCATTAAAGACTTTGTCCGGGCAAAAACTCATTTTGAGATTTTATGCTTATACGGGCCTATTCGCTACGCTGAATCAGAAAATCCACACTGGAAAGCGCGAAAACGGCGAAAAGGGGCTCTAGCGCAGGAGGGAAACAGCAAGTGGGCGAGGTCCTCTCCACTGTGAATTCACGCTCCCACCTTCCGAAGCGGTCTTCTTGATCCGCTAGCCGTCGTGACATCGCCACCGGCCAAGTGCGAACGAGTGTCTTGAAACCGAAAGCGAGAAGATCGTTCCGGAAGCTGGGAGCATAAGTTCACAGTGGGGAGACCCCGCCCACCCTACTTTCCCTCCTGTGTTAGAGCCCTTTTTCGCAGATTTCGCGCTCTCCAGTGGGCATTTTCGGAGTCAGCATAGCAAATAGGCACGGGTAAGCACAAAATCTCAGTCAGTTTTTGCCCGGGCACTGCCTTGAAAGACAGTGTCCAGGCAATCTGAGCACATGGGTTTTTTGTCTGGAAACTGTCGAGGTGGCTCTAGCTAAGGCACTGCCCAAGGGGCAGCGCAAATAAACCCTTCACAGCTGAGAAATCCGGATTTCTCAGCCGTGATTGAACAATTTGCGCTGCTCCTTGGGCAGTGCCTTAGTTAGGACCCCTTCATCAATTTTCAGGCGAGAGAGTCATGCGACCAGATTTGCCTGGACACTGCCTTTAAGATATGGTGAGGACGGTAGGAAACGAAGCCAGGCCAGTCGGAATCAAAAGAAGGGTAAGTATGGGTACATGAGAGGTCAGCACGATGAACGCTCCAGAACGGGGTGGAACCCGGGATGCCAGCTCGTGTTTCAATATTTTTTCCAACCTTTTTTTTCAATCGCAATGT